TGTGTGTGTCTGTCTGTGTCTGTGTGTGTGTGTGTGTGTTTCCAGCTGATATTCTGGCAGACATGGATCACGGAGCCATGAAGAAGATCAGCTCCATGTTCTCCACACTTCAGGAGAAACTCCACAGAACCAGTGAGTCGCACACATTTTACAGAATAATCCATATTTTGAGTGAAATGTAGATATTTTTATATACCCATAAACCTAACTCTATTTTAATTAAAAAAAATTTTTTTATTAAATATTTATTCATAATTTTTTAATGTATTAAAACATTAATACATGTAATCCATATATTTTTTTACTAATATATATATATATAGTATGTATGTATATAACCATATGCAAAAATATATATATTTTATAAAAAAATATACACATATAATTTATTTTAAAATATATTTATTTTGTGTGTGTTTACATTTAGAATTTTTTTTTTTATTTAACATTATGTAACAGAACGGTTAAAATGATACATCAATTAATAATTTTTTATAACCCTTAATTTTACATAATATATATTTTCATACATTTTAAAATATTTATTTATTATTTATATATATTATATTATAATAAAATAATAAATTACACCATATATATATATGTGTGTGTGTAATCTACCTGTAATTTCTGATTCAAATTCATACTTAAATATTGTACATTTAAGAAAATAGTACTTATAACATCACAATTTATCTATATGTTTATATATTTATTTGTTTTTCATTAATAGGAAATATATTTTTTCTTAAGTATTTACTTTTTTGCATTTTTAAAATATTATTTCAGTATTAGTAAACACGTATAAATGATGTATATATCTCTGATTTTGATCTCTGACAGTGTCAGCAGAGGAGGCTTTGTCAGTTTTCCAGAGACTGAGAATATAAAGAGTTGAGCAGCATGAGTTCAGTCTCTTGCTCTGATGACAGAGAGCCAGAAACAGCTCTGTAATGCCATGCGTTTATGAATTAAACAGCAGATTTGATGAGAGAAGTGAGGAGTCCATGTTGAGTTGAAGTGCTGTTTGTTTAGTCTCTAGAGCTGGTGTGTGATGAGTGAGAACTGAATGTGATGTTGTGTGGAGATGCTGTCAGATGCTCCAGTGTTGTTTCCTCTGAGGTTTCGCAGCACAAAGCGTGTTTGTGAGCATCTCACCTCCTCATTGTTCTGCCTGTGGTTTGGCAGTGGTGTTTCTCAGAAGCGTCTGTCGTTAAATGTCACACGTGTGTGTGTGTGTGTGTGTGTGTGTGTGTTCAGAGCGCAGCTCCTCTGATCCCGGTGTGTATCCGGCTCCAGCCGCGGCGCCTCCTGCAGGACGGGAGCGCAGTCACATGGGTCAGCTGTTCTTCGAGTATCTGCTGGTTGTCAGTCTGAGGAAGAAGAGGAACGAGGAAGGTTACGAGCCCCACATCACCTACCAGTTCCCCAAGGTCAGTCCACACAGAAACACACACACACTCTCTCACACAAACACACACACACACTCTCTCACATACACACACACACACACACACTCTCTCTCACATACACCCACACTCTCACATGCACACTCACTCATACTCACACACGCTCACACACACACTCACTCACACACGCACGCATGCACAGACACACATGCACTCTCACACACACACACACACACGCACTCTCACACACACACGCGCGCGCACACACGCACTCACACACACACACACACACACACACACGCACACACACACACACACACACACACACACACACACACACTCACACACACACACACACTCACACACACACACACACACACACTCACACACACTCACACACACTCTCTCACACACACACACACTCGCTCTCTTTCTCACACACACACACACACACTCACACACACTCTCTCACACACACACACACACTCGCTCTCT